GGGATTCATGAGGGACAGCTTTAGCAGTGAAGACCGAAGAAAAGAAGGCATTCAGTAACTCTGCCTTCTCTGTGTCTTCCACCACAAGAGCACCCATCTCATTCATCAGTGGGCCTACATTTTCCCTAGTCTTCCTTTTCTTATTGATATACTGAAAGAATCTCTTCTTACTGTCTTCAACTGCAGTGGGCAAGCTGAGTTCTGATTGAGCTTTGGCCCTTCTAATTTTCCCCCTACATAGCTTTGTTATATCTTGATAATCCTCATTAAGATGCCAACCCCCTTTTCCAGAGAATGTAAGCTTTCCTTTTGTTCTTGAGGTCCAGCCAAAGCTCTCTATTTAGCCAGGCTGGTCTTCTTCCCCGTCAGCTCGGCCAAGCTGAGTTCTGATTGAGCTCTGGCCCTTCTAATTTTCCCCCTATAATCCTCATTAAGATGCCAACCCCCTTTTCCAGAGAATGTAAGCTTTCCTTTTGTTCTTGAGGTCCAGCCAAAGCTCTCTATTTAGCCAGGCTGGTCTTCTTCCCCGTCAGCTCGTTTTTTGAGCCATGGGGATGGCCTTCTCCTGTGCTTCTAAGACTACCTGCTTGAAGTAAGACCAGCCTTCCTGGGTACCTTTGCCCTTCAAAACTGCCTCCCAAGGGACACTCTCAACCATGCTCCTGAACAGGCTAAAGTCTGCCCTTCCGAAGTCCAAGGTGGCAGTTCTGCTGGCTCCCCGCCTTGCTTCACCAAGAATTGAAAATTCTACCATTTCATGATCACTGAGCCCAAGACAACCTCCAACCTTTACATCCCCCACAAGACCTTCTCTGTTACTAAGGCACAGGTAGTTGTGTTAGATTATAAATAAAGAAAATAAAATTTTAAAAATACCAGTAATTTTAAAGATGTGCCAAGGCTTTAAACATTTGTTTTGGTCCTGCTATGAAACAGACAAGATGCTTTGATGGAAGCCAGTATTTTAAAATAAGATGACACAAAGACACACATTCTTTGGGCAGAGCCTGTTTTAAAAGGGAGAGAATGAATACATTCGTCACTGGTTTTGTTACCATGCTACTATTCTACAAAATGGGTTGGTCCTCAACATCTTCTTTCCATGAGGCCTATATCAAAGAACTAACTGGACTGTGCAATTAAATAAACAAACACTGAATGCTTAAATTGTGTTATGCACAAACTGGAAACAGACAATGTCTCTTCAACAGCGATTCAAGTATCCTTTCTTTCTTCATAACATCTACTGGTATTTATCAATTTTCTAAGACTTACTATTTTACTTTTTCTGCCTCTATGCTGATTAGCTTAGTTCAGAAAGTCAGCATAAGTAGTAATGAAAGATGAGAATTGTTTTTGACTAATCAAAGATCATGTATTTACCTTCTGCAAGCATGTCTGGCACATCTGCTTGATATCTGGGCCCCACTCTGATTTCTCCCTTGTCTGCTAAAAGCGTTTTCAGTGATGGATCATATACCAATGAATAAAAAAAAGTATCCTAAAAAAGAACACACATTTGCAACAGCATAATAATTTTAAAAATTACATTTGTAAATCTGTATCACCTTCCATTTGGAAATTATTAAAGTAAACCCCCTCACACACTTTTACAGAGCACAGGTTTGGTACATTAATCCTTATTTTAAATAATGCAGGTGTTTCACGAGTACTTTTAAATGGCTTCTCTCATTGCTAGGAGTTATTTCAGAACAGAGCATACACAAAAATATACCAATGGATTTGAATAGAATTAATTTTAACTGCTTTTGCAATTTAACATGTTTCCTTTCCTAAATATTTTTACTACACTGACTTCGCATTATAAATTAGTCTCAAAAAGCATAAAACACTGTCAGTGTCTGAAAAGGGCTTACACAAAAATTGTATTGGCATATCTGGTACAGCCAGCTGAAGTACAGGGCAAGTCCTATTTTCAGAAACATTTTTACCAATTATCAGTGGTTTTGGTGTAGAAATTTAAAAATAAAGACATGTTAATTTCAGCTGAAAAACCCTGTCTGCCTGATGTTATATTAAGACACTCCAAAGAAAATACGGTTATTTTGAAAGATATTTTGCAATACAATTATCACAGGGAATTTTCTTCCCCTTTGGTAAGGCTAAGCACCCTAAGTTCCTTCCACAGAACATGAAAGGTGAGGAGACACTTTCCATACAATAATTCAGAGCCCTTAAAATTAAACTCCTATGCTAAGTTGCCCTCTAGAGGAGCCTCTCTTGCTCTCTCTGTCCATTGACTACAGAAAATTGTTCTTTCTAGAACACCTCTAGAAAACAAAACAAAAAAAAAAAAAGGAAAAAAAAGATTTAAAAAAGCGCCATATGAATTCCCACTTAAGTATCCACTACAGGAAAGAGTCTGTATATTTCTCTTTTGCAAGATACTATATTAATTACTTCGAATTGATTAGTTTCTAAATTCTAAATGCATAATAAAAACATCATTTAGGAATGCCAATTAAGTATTTAACCAATAACACTTTCAAAATCAGAGTTTTCAACAACATAATTTTTCTAACATCATTAAAGAATATATTTTCAAAGTATTGTTTGCCCATTTATGAAAAATACAGCCATAAAAACCCATAAACCCACTCCAATATTTATCTAAATAGAAGTCACATATTACCTCTTTCTCCAGATATGACAGGACAGACTCTGTCTCATTCAGAAGTGCAACACTGCATTTTCCCCTACACAAACATAAGTGAGAATCGTTACTTCGTAAAAAGTTCAAATTTTTATTAAGACAAAAAGTTATTTGCAAGAAAATGATCTAGACATCCTTTATAAACTTCTGCATTAAAAATAGGGTAAAATGCACTTTGCCATACTTTTAAGACATTAAAATTAACATCAAAGCAATAAAACGAGTGGCTGTACTGACCCAAGCGCTCAAACACGTAAGAATTCTGCAGAACTGGGAAACAATTTCAGAAACAGAGAAGCAATGAAGGAACAAGAGGTACTATGGCAAACAATAAATACACATATAATTAATAAAAAGGCCTGGATGAATGAAACACCACCTCCAAGTGACTCACCTCCAGTAAGTTCAATGCCTAACTTGAAAACAAATAACCCAAACTAGAAACAAAACAAGGTTTTACCAACGGCCTATAAATGTAAAGTATGGCATGATTCCTAATAATGAATCATTGAATTCTATTCATTTCTTCTATGGCCACAGTAAAATGCTAACTACCACATTTTTGTGCAGGCTGCCAGTAGAAAGCTTCCCATTATTCATTAGTGGTACAGATCTCCCCAGGTATATAACACACGTAGATAACGCAATGGAGTTCAACCCCACTACCTCCACCCCTTATCTCTCCCCTCTCTCAGTTCCTTTTCCCCCAACATTCCTTTGGCTTCAAATTCCTCTCCCTCTGGCTTCTCTGCAAATATTATGCAGAATTATTTTTAACAAATGATATTTTAAAGAAACACACATAGATAGGGATGAAAAATGTTAAGTGTGCTGAATCATCTTGGTAGCAACTGGCATTTTTATGCTATCATTTTCAACCAAACTACCATTTTATAATAATATATATTTATCACCCCTTAAATACATCCCCCTGTTTTTCATACAGCTAAATTTCGTTCAATTTCCAGCAGTTTAGTCGGTATTTACCAGGAGGTTTCAGTGGCCTTTATATATATGGCTATATATATATATAGCCCAGAACACCCTTCTCCCATCTTCTCCCATGGAATAGACCAGCACACAAATATAGAAAACGTAATTGTTTGCAAAGACCTCCCTGATTTTACGATAGCACCAAAGAAGTTATTGTAAAAAGCGTTATACATTTCAGTGAATGTCAACTGTTAAGCTCAACCTTAATAAGCATTAGGTGCCAATTGTTAACAGCTGATCATTAAGCAAACATACCCAGCTAATGTCCTACTCACTACCATTGCACATCATAGGAAATGGGGTTAAACCACGCATTAAGTCTACAGTATATATAACCTCCTGAATTCCTCTTCATCTCAGTATTTGTCAGAACCGCACCAAAGAGAAATGGTGGGAAGATGAGTGAGAAAAATCTGAGCACAATACGCAACAGCAGAGAAAAAGACTCCTGCAGCAGAGAAGTAGGAAACCACCTCTGTACTTGACCATGTCTTTGAATGGGTTTTGAAGCTTTTGGCCTTGGTAATTCCAGAACATTCATTTCTAAAAATTAATTATATGTTGTACCATGAAGTCAGTTTGTCAATATTTTAACGGATTTATTTTTTATTTTTTTGTAGTGTTAAGGGCTAAACAGGAGTTTACCTTTCCAGTTTGCTTCTATTCCGTATACCTCTATCATGCTCTCTCTCCACTACAGCCTACCCCTCTTGAACTCCAATTATTGCAGGGGCATTCCTTCACTGTCATTGCAACTGCAATATTATTTTATTGACTGACCTTATACCTTATTGATGGTAAATTAAAATAATCTCATTTTCACAGAATCACAGAATCTTCAGAGTTGGAAGGGATTGCCCAGAGCACATTACTCAGGACTGCATCCAGGCGGGTCTGGAAAATCTCCAGAGAAGGGGACTCCACA